CTCTGGTACTGCCCCTTCTGGCACAAATTCAACCAACCATTCCAGTCTCTCCTATCCTTTCCATTTCAATATCTTAAGCCCTTTTCATATCACCCATGGACTCCTGTGAGTCTCCTACCAGTTCTAGCTCCTTCCAGGTCCTCTCCCTCCAATCACTATTCTCCTTCTAAGAACATGTATGAGTCACATCACTTTCCAGCATATCTTTCGATGGTTCTCTGCTGCTTCCTGAATAAGACCGGACTCCTTCACTAGCATTTGAGGTCTGTCTGGTCCCTTATCCTTCCAAGTAAATGGAGTTACTTTCATTACCCAAATAGCCCTGAACTTTCTTCTTCCCTCTATGCCCCTGCTCTGACTGTGCTGGCTTCAACTTCAAGATGAGGATGAAGGAAAACGTCTACTTTTCCCTCTAAATCTCTCTGTACTATTTACATTTTTTTTATTATTAACAAGAATTACTTTGAATTAAAGAAGGACCGAGTTTCAGGAACTAGTTTAAAAAAAACTTCCTCTACTTGCCTTCCTTGAACATGCCAGCCCAAAACAATTTTTCTATTCTTGTTATTCTCAAAATTCTTCTGTGGACTTTATGTACTATTAACATAGACTTTCTATTATAGCTGTTTGTGCTAACACTACTTCTAACTCAATTTTTAAATCCTTTAGGGCAAAGTTGGGTCTAATTCATCCCATCTCCCACAGTCCAGTAGCCATTGCCCATGATGGGTCTTCAATAAACATAAGATAAGGTTGAGGAATTACAGTTTAATCTTAAGGATGCCAACCTAAATATCCCCAGTTTAGCAAATAAAAGTTAGCTCTAAATTGGAATATAAGTAGGATCTTTGCATTATAGATTTTCCAATGAGTTAATCGTTTAAATTCTTTTTTATGCCAACTTTGCACATCACTGTAAAGGCTGGAACACTCTAAAGGTTAGATTATGTGTGTGTGGATGTGTGTGCGTGCGTGTGCACGCATGCTAGCCTACTTTCTCCTGGAAAATCCATAGAAGTGAGATCAGTGAAGAATGAGACCACCTATAACTTTCTAAAATTATAACAAAGCAAGCAGGTATTCCCTGCCAGATCCATCCATTCGAAGAAAAAAGACTGTCAGGGTTCAAGTCCCTCCACAGGGTTTGTCACCAATTGTCTCCCCAGCAATCCAAACGCCAAAACTTCAACAACACAGGCAGGGCCCTCCAAGCTTGTTCCATGTGAAAAGCCCTCATTAAACCCTGAGTTATATTTAGAAAAAAATGGAACAGAAGTTATATTTAGATGAAATAGCATAAAAGAATTTTACCAAAAGCAGCATCTTTATACTGATCTTCCAAAAGAAAAGGTTTTACTTAGCTTTTACATACGACCCCTAAAAACAGACAACTTCTCCACAAGGACACAAGGATTTCTGCTTGGGTTCTTTATGTCAGAAAGAAAACAGGAGCACCCAGGATATCGGCAAGACTGCCTGTGGGAAGCAGTGGGAAACGAAGGACTTAAAAACAAGCACACGTTTGGAGAACAAAACAATTTCATACCGAAACAAGAGCTGAGATGGTCTGAGAAAGGTGTGAGTAACATGGTACTTGAGTTGTGCAAGAGCAGCTCTTAAATTTGTAAACTGGACACAAAAACTATAGATCCCCTCAGCAATCTACCTAGAAGTGGTACTCTTTTCAAAACGGCATTAGTGCTAAAATTGTGGTCACAGTCAAACTACTCTCCATCACTTTGTAGCTAGCTTGCTGAACCACAGTCAAAATTTTCTTTTTGGCTCTTATTACTCAAACTATTTTTGACATCCACTTTCTTCAGTGTTGACTTACATTTTCCTAACAAAATTCTAGTCAACAGCACTAAGGTGGTTCAGCAAACTTGTGAAGCCTTTTCAAGAATGAATGTATCATTTCAGGGTGACTATTTGAAGGAGTGAAAGATGGTTTGTGACAGTTATTCCTCTCTTCCTAGGCCGCAGGGTACCCAGGGCTCCAGATGGGAATGACTCACAGCTCAAAGGCTTGGCACACACCCCAGGTTAAGGGGACCTCTTCTCTAAAGAGCCTCAGGAAGAGGCCACTTCCCAGCCTTCCAGCCAAACCAGAGTGGAGGGCAAAGGTAATGCCCGGGGGAGGAGATGGCCCCACAGCAGGACTGGCCGGCCCCCAATC